CATAGAGATCGTAACAGTAAAGACGTTAGCATTTATGGACAGTCAGCACCGCTTTGTCTTAATGCAGTGCACAATTTCAGTTTCAAAGCTCGTTCCGTGTTAATGCGCTGTTAGCCCACCACTGATGTCGGCGTGTTAAACGAGAGAGCTGAGACGATCTCAATGCCTGGCACCAGACCTTGAACTGAACCCGCCGGATGTGGAAATTAACACTTGAGGGAGAACGCTGACTTACTGATAGCGAAACAAAATAACGGACAATGGATAATGCGGGAAACAAACGTCATCTTCGGTGAATGTCATCTCTCCATCTCCCAAAGTCCTTACAACATGCTCTGCCGAGTGGTAGTGTCGAATCACTGCCTAGACGCACTGTTTCAAGCATTGGTTCTTCGTATAGTCGCTTATTGGGTACCTCTGCATCCCCCTTCCGGTGTGGGTACCTCTGCCAACCCCTTCCGGTGTGGGTACCTCCGCATCCCCCTTCCGGTGTGGGTACCTCTGCCAACCCCTTCCGGTGGGCATCGCCACAACCACCGGCAATGACACAATGTTCTCGGATCCTCTGAGATTCCGCTTGTCTCCAGTCTAGTTGTGTGTGTACGTGCTGAATATTCATGCGTGGTGAGTCTAGTGACATTTAATTGCCGCCCTGTCCGTGATATTGCGTCACTCTGAGTAAGTCTCTGCTTTCTACGCGCGTCCACCCATATTCTCCTGAGTGTTCGTCTCTACATTTGCTGCATTCAGTTCAAGGTGTGGTGCCAGGTGTAGGGACGGTCTCTGCTTTCCTGTTCAACACGCTGTGGACATCAGTGCCGGGCCCACAGCGCAAGAACGCGGAGCGATCTGATGTTTGTATCGCACTTATGTGGCCTACTGCATCAGAAGCACGAAGCGGCCCTAAGTGCCGATATTTGCTTCCACGGTCAATATGATAAGGCCTCTGTGGTAGAAAAAACGGAGGCACTGTAATTTGGTAACTTATTGTAGTATCAGCCTCTTTTAGTCACGTCACTAATAAGCTGGTTCGTAAACTCGCATACGCGCCTTAAAGACATCTCAAAATGGCATCCACAATACAGCCATATGTATATGTATATATATATATATATATATATATATATATATATATATATATATATATATATATATATATATATATATATACGTTGGAATGTTTTGGCAGAATCCTTTCTTTGATACATGTTTGACTAAAAATAACTGCTGACTCAGCATTGACGAGCTTTTTGATGCATCGCTCTAGTTTCCGGGCCGTTGACTTGGCATCATCGCTTAGATTAAAGATGGTTCGCACAAAATTACTCATATATTCATAGCTTCTTCCATTCGAACGTTTCGAGATCCTATCTCATCGTCGGAGAAGTCTAAATGGCACAATAAATAAGTTTTGAGTTTTAAAGGATGAAAAATTGTGCTCTTCTATTGGAAGACATCTTTTGGTACGGAGAACATAAATGGGGCATAACTAATTGAAGTAAGACAGAATCCTATTTTCATTTTTATACATGACAGAAACACTCACAATGGGAACACTACAAAGACACAATGGGAACACTATTGCCACAATCACATCAGAAGTGTTCACCGCCCACCACCTAGTAGTTCAAGAGTTGTGCAAGAATTTGTCTGTCCGTTTAAAGCCGGAGAGAGTTCGTTAATGAATGTGCTTTCCCAAATTTGAAGGCGTCTGCTGTCACTGCTCGTCCGTAAAATGTCAGTGCTGTCTGTCAGTTGTGATCGCGTCAATGTCATGTCGTGACCTATCAACAACTGTATCTGATTATGTGCCCATTGGCGGAGCTCATAACATCCGCGCTCGCGCATAACGATTCATAACATCCAGCGATCACAACATCCAAAAGTAGTGTTGGTTGCTGCTGGAGGACAATACAGAGACATACTTCTTTCGTCTCCTGCCGCTAGGTCGTACGACAATGTTATATTACCCCTTTTTGTCGACAGACGGCTCAGTCATTCAGCCCATGATCACGTGATAGAGACATCGAAACATGGTGAGTACGAATCCCGTATAATGGCTAGCGGCTGGTGGTCATACATTCGGTCCCAGCATAAGTTACGTACCAGAAGACACCCCACGCCCCACCGGCACCAGTTTATTCATGGTGGAACGTCACGCCTACGACGCTCCAAGCAAGCAAATGGGATTCCTGACATTAATCTATGTTAGTATCTAACTATGACTCAATTGCGGGAAGCTTTGGTTCCAAACAGCCAATGACGCCAATAGCTGCTTTGTTTTTGCTGCTCTGTATGGGTGAGTAGCAATGATATGCACGCAATACTACGCATGCTTTTGGGCATATAGGCTAGGGTGTAAGCAATCGGAGAGCGGCGCTGCCCACTTGATTGTGACAACCATCGTTCAACTCTGTGAACCAATGGCTTCATAAATTTGCACATGATTGCGGTCCCCGATTAAAACGTCAACGGTTTCTTAATTTTAACCTAACCCCACTACCCACATACTAACGTGTTATTTCTACATGTTATGCAGGCATGTCATATGTGTACTGGCCCATGGTGTCTCTACCCTCTCCCCCACCCAGTCTATATGCATATGCTTCCTTGAAGTCAACAGGCACGCACCAGTAGCTCTCGTGACGTATCACGCTCAACGCCGACAGTATCATGATACACTGGCATTTGTCGAGTCGTTGCTACATACGGCCCGCTCCTAGACGCCTAACACCCACTCTACCACGCCTCCCGTTTCAAGAACATTTGCAACAAGCACCACTGCTCTTGCCCTAAGTACCCGGTGTCCGTACCTCTATTACCCATAACTTTGCAAAATGATGAAACAAACTGTGCACATGTAAAACCATCGTTATCACATTCATGTATATATATATATATATATATATATATATATATATATATATATGTCGGAATATTTTGGCAAAATCCTTTCTTCGATACATGTTCACCACCTTCACCAGGATCTGTCTGATTCTTAGACAGATCAGAATTTAAGAATCAGACAGATCTTGGTGAACAACAGTTTTTCAAATTCTGACGTTGAAAACGAGACGCAACGACATATGACAAGACACTTTGACGGCAAACCAAGGCAAGACATCCAACCAACCGTCAAACTGTATTATCAAAATCAAATGACATCTACCCACACACAAGACGAAAAAGCTTTACGGGAAATTATCTCTCGACGTGTTACAGGCAAAAACGACCACAAAATAGACATCGTCATTTACTATCTTAAAAAGAAAATATCTAACTTTCTTATGGGAAACAGCCCAGACAAACCCGACAAACTAAATGGACCAATGTAGTGTATCAATTCCAATGCAACATCGAAGGCTGCAAACTTCGTCCCATACACTGCATTGGTGTGACCACGACACTCTCACGACGCCTGACAACGCACTTACGTGATGGGGCACCTCTGGACCACATGCGACACGAACACGACATGACATTGACACGATCACAACTGACAGACAGCACCGACTTTTACGGACGTGCAGTGACAGAAGACGCCTTCAAATTTGGGAAAGCATATTCATTAACGAACTCTCTCCTGCTTTAAACAGGCAGACAAATCCTTGCACAACTCTTTTGAACTACTAAGTGGTGGGCGGTGAGCACTTCTGATGTGATTGTGGCAACAGTGTTCCCATTGTGTCTTTGTGGTGTTCCCATTATGAGTGTTTCTTACAGGCATACAAGTGAAAATAGGAACAATAGTTATGGTTCATTTATGTTCTCCGTACCAAAAGATGTTTTCCAACAGTAGTGCACAATTTTTCATCCTTTAAAACTCAAAGCTTATTTATTGTGCCAGTTAGTCTTCTCCGACGATGGGATTGGATCTCGAAATGTTCGAATGGAAGGAGCGATGACTATATGGGTAATTTTGTGCGAACCATCTTTAATCTAAGCGATGATGCCAAGTCAAAGGCCCGGCAACTAGAACGATGCATCAAAAAGCTCGTCAACTCTGAGTCAGCTGTTATTTTTAACCAAACATATATATATATATATATATATATATATATATATATATTTGAATCACCTGAAGAGACTTCATTGTATTATATAATGGATGGCTTAAACAATGCCACAAAAGGGCGTGAAAAAAGCGTCTTGAGATCACGTCACAACCCCAAGTCCTTATGTTCCGTCTGATAAGACGTCTGGAAGTGCCTTAAAGGACTCTGGAAATGACACTATAGATAACGGGCGGAACACTTTGGGGAGGAGGAAGGGGTGGGGGCTCTTGCTTGCTTTGATTATCACTCTCAACCACTAACCACCGCCCGTACGCTACGAAAGTGAAATAGGCACCTTCTCGAAATGGCAGCGCAAATGCCGATCCGATCCGCGGTGCACAAGAAGACGATTTCGTGCGCCATCTAAATGTAAGTCTTACTAGCCTGTGGTGATTTAACTACCTTTTGCATGAGGCATACATGCAGCTGTTCATGGCCGGCCTCTGCCAAGTCTGAACGGAATCAAAGGAGTCATCATTAAAATATCTCAGCTGAACAACACCACAACAAGGATGCGAAGCTTAGACGCGTCTCCCTATTTCCACTGGTCAGATAATTTTTTCGTAAGTTGTACGAATTCAGCACGGTTCCTAAGATCTGCGGTTGCGACAGTGCGTCTGTTCTGATGCAGTCCGCTAGCATGGACCAGCTCACGACAAGGGCGCAGACATTACGCTTTTGCGCTGTCAGGTAGCTCGCCACTACGCAATAATTTCATGTCATGTGACACCGCCGGTGTCCCGATCCCGTGATGATAACGACGGCTCTCGAGTGTTGCTGCGTATCGTGCCGTTCGCTCCCGGCCGGACGGTGACGTGTCAGATAGGCGCCGCCGTCCACAGCTACCCTCGTGCCCGCGCCGTGCGCTGGCCAGCAGCGTCTCTGTTGGACATCCTGCCTGACCGGCACGCACCGACGCCGGGCCACGGCCGCCAGCCAGCCGCCATGTCGGACACCAAGCCGGCCGCGGAGCAGGGCGCGCCGGTGGCGCCGGTCGGGTCGCGGACGCTGCTGTACGTGCTGACGGCGCTCAGCGCACTCGGCGGCTTCCTGTTCGGCTACGATACGGGTGTGGTGTCGGGTGCCATGCTACTCGTGAGGGACGAGCTGGCGCTGGACGACCTCTGGCACGAGCTCATCGTGTCGGCCACCATCGGCACCGCCGGCGTGTTGGCGCTGGTCGGCGGCGTGCTCACCGACCGCATCGGCCGCAAGCCTGTCATCCTCGCGGCCAGCGGCGTGTTCGTGACCGGCAGCGTCATCATGGGCATCGCCAGCAACCGCGAGGTGCTGCTCGTCGGCCGGCTCGTCGTCGGCGTCGGGCTCGGCCTCTCCAGCATGTCGGTGCCCATCTACATCTCGGAAGCGGCGCCCGCGGCGGTGCGCGGCCGCCTCGTCACCGTGAACGTGGCGTTCGTGACGGGCGGACAGCTGGTGGCGTCGCTAGTGTGCGGCGCGTTCGCCGCCGTGCCGCACGGCTGGCGCTACATGCTCGGGCTGGCGGCCGTGCCGGCGCTGGTGCAAACGCTTGGCTTCTTGCCGCTGCCCGAGTCTCCGCGCTTTCTGGTGACGAGCGGCCGCGGCGAGCGGGCACGCCGCGTGCTGCTGCGCCTGCGCGGCTCGCCGGCGCAGGCCGACCGTGAGCTGCGCGACATCCAGCGCGACTGCGACGAAGAGCGCGCTGCGCTCGAGCGCCAGCGCGTCTCCGGCGGCAGCAGCAGCCCGATGGCGCAGATGCTGCGTTCAGCCGGCACGCGGCGCGCGCTGGCTGCCGGCTGCTGCCTGCAGGTGTTCCAGCAGCTGGCCGGCATCAACACCGTCATGTACTACAGTGCCAGCATCATCACACTGGCCGGCGTACGCGACGCCACCACGGCCATCTGGCTGGCAGCCGCGTTGGCCGCCATCAACTTCAGCTTCACGTTCGTCAGCATGGCGCTGGTGGAGAGGCTGGGCCGGCGGTCGCTGACGCTGACCAGCATGCTGGGCTCGGCGCTCAGCCTTCTGCTTCTGGCTGCCGCCTTCCACGTCAGCTACGAACGGTCGGCGGCCGTCACGCTGCCGCCGGCCGACGTCGGCTGCCGCTTCAGCACGTGCGATACGTGCGTTGGCGCCCCTGACTGCGGCTTCTGCTTTGTGGACGCGACGGCGGGCGCGGTGAACGGCTCGTGCGTACCGCTCGTGTCGAGCCACAACACGTCGGCGGCGGTCGGCCGCTGCGCCGACCCGTCGGTCCTGGCCACCGGCGGCCTCACCTGGGCGCCCGACTGGTGCCCCTCGCAGTACTCTTGGCTACCGATCATGGGCCTCTGCATCTACCTGGTCTGCTTCGCCTCCGGCATGGGCCCAATGCCGTGGACCATCAACTCGGAGATCTACCCGCTGTGGGCGCGCGGCACCGGTAACTCGATCGCCACCGCCTGTAACTGGTTCTTCAACTTGATCGTGTCGCTCAGCTTTCTCACGCTGACAGACGTGATGACCAAGCATGGCACGTTCTACATGTACTCAGGCCTGACCTTCCTGGGTCTGGGCCTGTTCTACGTCATGGTGCCCGAGACCAAGGGCGTAAGCCTGGAAAGGATCGGAGAGCTCTTCGCACGCCCCTGGGGGCTGCACGCTCCCAGGCGAATGGAGCCGGAACACCCGTCATTAAGTGGCGACGATGCTCAACACCCAGACGGCGGGTCCAAAGGCCGTGACAACGCAAGTTATGTGGCTGAAAACAGCGATTCAGTGAAAATGGCCGCGTTTTGAATGATCGAGTGAGGTCTGATGGGAGAGTTAACGTTATAACTGGGTGTATGTCTGAGCAGGCTGGCCCTGCTGTCTTTAAGCCAGAGTCGCTGATTTTTTGTTTGGAGTCTTACATTCGCGCAGAATGTCGTTTTGAAAACTAAACGTGACCTGTCTGATGCATGTTGAAACATCCAGAGTTCATAACGTCCATTGGTCAAAACATCAACAATTACAACATCCAGCGTTCATCATATCTAAAAATCACCGAACATCCCTGGACAGGTGAGAAGCACAACATCCAACCTCGCAGCATCCAAAATCGCAATACTTAGGATTCATAACATCCAGCGTTAATGACGTCCAAAGGTTGGAGAAGAGTGCCAATCAAAAGGTTATGTGCTGAACATCTTGCTTGCTGGCTATAAAGAACATTGGATGCCAAGACTTTGGATGTTGCGAGCTTAGATGCCATGACTTCCGCCAATGGGCGAGGCATTGGACGCACTTTGGATGTTATTAATACTGGATGTTGCAATTTTGGATGATATGAGCACTGGACACTACCATCTTGGACGTTTTGATGGCTTTCCGGATTTTTATTATTGAAAAATACGTATTAAAGCATCCAGTGTTCATCAGTGCAATGGCCAAAACGTCCAAAATCGCAGCATCCAGCGTTTACAAGATCCAAAAATCGTTCAATATCCCTGGACAGACGAAAATCATAACATCCAGGCTCGCAGCATCCAAAACCGGAACCTACGAAGTTCGTAACTTCGAGCCTCTATCACGTCTAAAGGTTGGAGAACAATACCAATCAACGCTAGTCAACTGGAGGTCAAGGTCTTGGATGTTACATCGGATGTTGCGAGTTTGGACGTTGCGAGCTTGCATGCTATGAACTCCGCCAATGGGCACGGAACTGGACGCACTCTGGATGATACGAACGCTGGCTGTTTGCCGCTGGCTGGTTGCAATTCGGATATGAGCGCTGGACGAGCACTATGAGCGCATGCGATTTCTTCATGGCTTACACAAGGATGATTAGAAGCGGACATCTGCAACACATAAATCAAAACTAATCGTTGTTCATGTCCGTAGGAGTGCAAAGGCAAGCCGTATCTTGGGCTATGTGAAGCCAGGTAAATCTGACTACTGGACATGCGAGCGTGCACTGATATTGAGCGTAACATGACTTGGATACGTTTCAAAATATCACACATGTTCCCATTGCACCGAAATTGCCTTTGCGCGCCGGCTCATTCAAGGAAAATGCACTCCAACTTACAACGCGAATTCCGACGCATTTGGTCAGAACTAAGGTTTGCAATTCACGTAGAGTGCGAACGCGCTGTAAAATGCGACGCACTTCGTGGGCTTGTGATGATGCATATGCTACACGTTGCGAGGACTCTGGATCCAGGCGGAGCTCGAAACCATGGAGCTCGATGTCAACGGGCGTGAACAAATTGCCGCATTTAGACACTGCAACACCTATTGTATCGCAAGTTCACGCAATCTTGTCAGTCTGCGGTCCACGCACCGGAAATGTGTGGCTCGAACCGTGCCGCCGACACAACCGGTGCCAGTAACAGCTGGACCGGTGGCACTCAGTCCGCATCTGGCCTCGGCTCCGGACAATCCGCATCTGGCCCCGGCTCGGAATAACACTCACCGTCCGCATGTGGGCAATGCTTGGGATAGCATTCCCCGTCCGCATCTGGGCGAGGCCCAGATTAACATTCACCGTCCGCATCTGGCCCAGGCTTGGGATAACCTTACCCGTCGGCATCTGGGCGACGCTCGGGATAACATTCACCGCCCGTCTCTGGGCGACGCTCGGGATAACATTCACCGCCCGCATTTGGCCCAGGCTCAGGATAACATTCACCTTCCGCATCTGGCTCAGGCTCGGGATAACACTCACCACCCGCACCTGGCTCAGGCTCGGGATAACATTCCCGGTCCGCATCTGGCCCAGGCTCGGGATACCGTTAATTCCCATCCGTATCTGGGCGATGCTTGGAATAACATTGTCCGTCCGCATCTGGGCGAGGGTCGGGATAACATTCACTGTCCGCATCTGGCCCAGGCTTGGGGTAACATTCTCCATCCGCATCTGGGCGAGGCTCGGAATAACATTCCCGTCCGCATCTGGCCCAGGCTCGGGTTAACATTCACCGTCCGTATCTGGCCCAGGCTTGGGATAACATTCCCCGTCCGCCTCTGGGCGGGAGTCGGGTTAACATTCACCGTCCGTATCTGGCCCAGGCTTGGGATAACATTCACCGTCCGTATCTGGCTCAGGTTCGGGAAAACATTCGCCGTCCGCACCTGGCTCAGGCTCGGGATAACATTCACCTTCCGCATCTGGCTCATGCTCGGGATAACAGTCACTTTCCGCATCTGGCTCAGGCTCGGGATAACATTCACCTTCCGCATCTGGCTCAGGCTCGAGATAACATTCCCGGTCTGCATCTGGCCCAGGCTCGGGTAACGTTAATTCTCATCCGTATCTGGGCGACGCTTGGGATAGCATTGCCCGTCCGCATCTGGGCGAGGGTCGGGATAACATTCACCGCCCGCAACCAGCTCAGGCTTGGGATAACCTTACCCGTCTGCACCTGGGCGAGGCTTGGGATAACATTCACCGTCCGCATCTGGCCCAGGCTCGGGACAAGCATTCCCCGTCCGCCTCTGGGCGAGGGTCGGGTTAACATTCACCGTCCGTATCTGGACCATGCTTGGGATAACCTTACCCGTCCGCATCTGGGCGAAGCTCGGGATAACATTACCCGTAAGCATTTGGGCGAGGGTCGGGTTAATATTCACCGTCCGTATCTGGTCCAGGCTTGGGATAACATTCACCGTCCGTATCTGGCCCAGTCTTGGGATAACACTCACCGTCCGCATCTGGCCCAGTCTTGGGAAAACACTCACCGTCCGCATCTGGCCCAGTCTTGGGATAACACTCACCGTCCGCATCTGGCCCAGTCTTGGGAAAACACTCACCGTCCGCATCTGGCCCAGTCTTGGGAAAACACTCACCGTCCGCATCTGGCCCAGTCTTGGGATAACACTCACCGTCCGCATCTGGCCCAGTCATGGGATAACACTCACTGTCCGCATCTGGCCCAGGCTCGGGATAACATTCCCCGTCCGCCTCTGGGCGAGGGTCGAGCTCACACTCACCGTCCGTATCTGGCCCAGGCTTGGGATACCTTTACCCGTCCGCATCTGGCCCAGGCTCGGGATAACGTGCGCCGTCTTCGAACTGTACACACACCGTAGCCGACATCACCTGTTTATTGGACATAACTTGCAGGATTAAGCCCGCTCCGAGACGAGTCACTTTGACGCCGCCATCAGGCCCGCCACTGTCTCGAAGTCGACCTTTTCACGGATGTTCTTGGTCTTAACGCTCTCATCCTGCGTCCGGATGAAGACGGTGCTGCCCTCGTCCGTCCAGCCGTACTTCGATATCCAGCTGTTCAGCTCCGAGGCTGAAACACGGACCGCTAGTGTAGAACTACGGAGTCAGCCGAAACCAGCGTAGAGCAGCCAGGCCTCAACGCCTCGCATGCGCCGCCAATTGGTGGACTGAACGCAGGACTGAGACAATCGATGGTGGTTTTACTTGATACGCCAGGCCCCAAACAAAGCGTCGCTGCACCTCCAAATCAAACTAAAAAAGGACACTTAACGGAGACCTAACACCAACGCGACGGCAAGTCCCGCAACACTGGAGCAGTCATCAGATGGGCACGATTATCCTTGTCTGGATCTTTAGATATAGTCATAGTTACATTGCAGTGGCTTCATCTCGGCGCACCTCTACAATGGTTTTGTGGCATTAATGATTGCGTAAACAATGGACATTGGTGACGTTGGAAACCCGCTAAGCGTGGCTTGTCGCGTAAGCCCTGACTTCGTACACAAGTGGACCGAGCCACGAGAAGATATTAACTGAAACCAACCCCGAAAACAAGGGATCGTACGTCAAACAACACCACGACTTGAAAAAAATACTTACTTCGTGTCAAAAAGGCACAGCCGGTGGCACCACAGCACATAAGAGATGCCAATCACGGTTACTATCGCTCTAGCCGAGTTACTAAGCTGAGCGGGAAAACATGGCCGACGGGCCGAGATGAGGGGTACCCGCCGGCCACTACCACTGCAAAAGGGAAGGCAAGACGGCGAACGCTGTCTCGGTCTGATGTAGCGCAGGGCACCTTGGTAACAGCGCTGCGGCCAAAATGGTGCCGTGACCAGCCCAGCCTATGTCAGGAAGGATCAACGCCTGTTGGTGCAGTAGCTCCTGTGACCGAGTGATGCTATGAACGTCCCGCGTAAATTTTCAAAGGACTTACAACTATTTGTGGGTTTAGATTTCATTATGATTATTCCACTAGCTTTGTGCGGCACCAACGGCATGGCGCAAGTGACTCGGGTTACTTGAACCAGTCTTCCTCTCAAGCATTTGTTCAAATAGCAAAAAAAAAAAAAATCGCTTCCGCACTTGCTTTGCTGCACTGACGTAAAAGTTGGAAATTTTCATTATATATATTTCGCAGTTGGAATCGCGGTTCTAGGTGCCCTGGTTGCCGCGATATCGCGTAAAGTGTGAAAAAGACTCGGCCGCAGGCCGCGCGCGGTGCTGGCGGTCTCTGGTGGCCGCCGGCAGGAGTGAGCGCATTTCGCCCGCGCTCTCTGCAACACACCCGAGCCTACTCCATGGGACCGGTGATTGATCGTGGGACGTGAATGGTGATTGCTGCCACTTTCATCAACCGTCCGCCTTTGAATGATGGCAGCACGCACTACCGTCGCATCCAACGGCATTTTATTGTAGCGTACAGTGCAAAACGGTCGGCAGCGGCAAAATATATTTTTCTGGCTCGTGCATACGTGTCGCTACAATCTATACCACGCCATTGTTTGTCCAATTCCCCATCAATCCATTCAGCACGTGCGACGTGACAATTCACGAAACGCCATTATTTATTCGATTTCTTATAAATGCATGCCACTCCCCAGTACCTCCGTGCCCTGAGTGCCGAGATGGGGCACAAAGCGTGTAAGCCCGCGGAAAACAGCAAAAATCATCTTCCTGGCTCGTGTGTGCCCGACACGCGCAACATGCCACGCCGCACTTGTGACACATGTGACCATGGGATTTCCCGTCCAATGGCCTATCGCGGCATGCCAGTCTCGTGTTACTGTGTGCCATAAGAGCGGAATACCCGCGTAAAGCGTAAAAATGGACAAGATCGACAAAATACAGGTTCACAGCTAATGTGCACGTGTCACATGCCACGTGCAGCGTGACATCGTACACGTTTCAGTGATTGCCCGTTAGACTACTTATCGAAGCATGCCGGTCGCTGTGCACTTTTTCCCTAGTTTCTGAGATATCACGGAAGCGTGCAAGCCCCTCAAGATACCGAAATTGTATAAATCCATAGTTAAACACATGGGCACCACGACATGTGGCACGTGTCGCCAAACATTACCATTTCGCTCTTCCCATTCATCATTGAAGCGCGCCAATCCCGGGTGTGTTAGTGCCATAGGTGCAGAAATGTGGCACAAAAGGTGCAAATCCGTGGAAGAGAGCAAAATCCATCTGTGATCCCATGCCGTGTCATAGGTGCGACCGTACCACTTCGATTATTAAAACTTGGCACCTTGCAAGTTGTCGCGCAATTTACAGTGTAACGGTGCGTTGCAGAAACTCGCCATGCGCCTGAAAGTGTGCCCGCGTCTATTGTAAATGTCGGGAAACAAAAGCCACGCCTGTGCGAGCACGGCGACCGCAGGGCACAGTGCGCCGCCGGCCACCTTGCATAAGCCGAGGTCTCCCCCTAGGGCAGTGACCCACCACCCTGCCCTCCGCCCGCCCTGCCCGCCGGCCCACCACCGGACAGACTGAAAACGCGCCTGGGTGCTCGTTCTTTAATATAAAGCGTGGCTTAATGAACAAAGTCGAACACCTGTCGCGCAAACCGCCAATTGAATCCTCAAGGCGTAGGGTGTACGCCGGGAGTCGGGGTACGGGGTACGCCGCAAGTAACTTGCCGCCGTCGCGGCGAAAATACGTCATGCAACCCCTTAGCCTAAACCCGTTTGGCAGCGACAGTTTTTAAAATGCGGTCGACAAAAGAGTGCAACAGAGACAGGACGAATCGGCCGACACGGTGATGTAGTTTCCAACGCTACATTACGCATACTTTTGTTGACGGCAGCGGCTTGTATTCAGCTTCGGTTTTGAAAACTCAGCCCGTCACAACTTGTAATGTACTTGGCAGCGCAACAGTGCGTTGCAAAAACTCGCAATGCGCAGTGGAAATGTAGCCGCTTCAATTTTAAATGTTGGGAAACAAAATTCAGAACTCTACCTTCTTTCCGTACCGATATATAAAGGTTAACGTAAAACTGCGCCAAAACGGCCGATCCCAAATTGTCGACACGTGTGCACGTGCTACGTGTCACGTGACGCAAAAAAACTCACCCGATTGCGATGACCCATTCCGTGCTCTATCGGATCGTGCACGTTTCCCGTCGCTGCAACCCTTGGTTACCAGGATACGGCTCCGGAAAGCAAACGTGTTGGTCCGTCGGCCGGAATCGCTAAATTGGCGTCGCCCGTGTTAAACCTACGGGGATTTTTGCGCTCGTGTTTCGCTCAGCACGCGCTCATTTTTGAAAAATGCATAAAAAATTCCTCACCGTTTAGCCTGCAGATGATCCAACTCCAATGGCGAAAACAGTTGCCTGTTGCACTTCCCCCGGACAGACAGACATAAAAACATTGACTCAAATGTTTCAATATTGACTTTGATACCGACAGACAGAGGGACGGGCGCGCGCGTCCTCACCGGTCACGTTGAGGGTGGAGCGCACCAGCTCCTTGCTAATGCGCTGGTAGGTGATGTTGAGCACGTGACAGGCGTACCTCCTGATCGAGTCCTCGAAGCCCTGCGAACGGTCAGGACCGTCAACCGGTGGTCAGTTATTTCGGCGAAAAACTCGAACAACGCTAGGAGACTTACCTACATGTACGTTTGAGCATTAGGTAAAATATCGCAAGGCCTCACAAAAATGTCCGGTCATACACACGCGCGAGTACTGAAAAACACTGCGAGAAAAGATCCTTAAAAGCGTCGGTTCTTAAAATCGTTCCTCAATCATACATCTACACATAACTAGATGGGGCGCGGTTGCTCAATAATCATGTCTACGGGCGCCAACGGCTGCAAAAAAAGCTCAGCTATCATTACTACATAATCATGATCAAAGAACATCAGAGTCAATATTGAAACATTTGAAAGCACATTAATATGTGGGCACAAGGCATACACATCCACATGTTTTGTCCAGCGCTGACAGTGAGGCTTTTGTTGGTATTCCTGACCATTGCGCTGTAACGTTGGAAGTCGAGCTTCATTCAGTACCTGATCCCAAAATACGTAAAGTACCCGCAGCGTTCGGATGAAAGAATACACAGGGCGATCTGCACTTGGTACAGCGACCCAAGTTCTGAGCCAAGAGTCGAACGAGACAGAGTGGGCTGCTGCATCGCTGGCCGCTGGCCCGGGGTCAGCGGTCGCGAGCGGCCCGCGGCGCCGGAGCCGAGGGCGGCCGGTGGGCCGGCGCTCGGAGCTCACCGTCATGCCGGCGATGATGGACGGCTGCTCGACGATGATCTCCCAGAAGGCCTGGAACTGGCACAGCTCGAGCAGGGTGGAGAGCCGCAGGATGTCCTGCACCTCCGGCTCCTCCATCTGGAGCGCGACCCGGCACAGCACCGCCCGTCAGACACGGTCGCGGTGCCAGCCGGCCAAGCGGTCACAGCCGCTGCCACCGCTGCAGTCGCTACAGCACAACTCCAGTACTCGCACATCAGCAGCAATGAACTCGGTATTGCTGAGAGTGATAAGGATGATATACCACATGAGGATCTGTTTTATCATGAGAGGATCACAGGAGTGGTCAGGATTTTCTTATGGGTGTGAAGGTGGGGGGCGAGAGAGGAGCTCAGTGAGTATGCATCATGTCAGTTTTAATGTTCTGTCAGGAGCCAGCTATGGTTCAAAAATGTGGGCAGGGGATGGTGCTCCTAGAGGTTTATACTGTCCCATACTAAACAGATGGCTTACTGAAAAAAAAAAACACTCACCGATATAGTAACTGCTTGAACTACCACCATTCATGACCTGATAATGCACCGGCCAAAACGTTTTGTACATACTAGCAGTGTTGGAAAACTTGACGTTTCGTGGTATAATGTATACCAGGAGATTTTGTGCTCCAGGATTGTGACTAGGTAAAATTTAAAAAATTGTACTGCAACAAAAATGCAACAAAAACCGCTTTTGGAAAAACTCATTTTACCTCTCTGTGCCAACATAAAATAAAACCAGAAGGTGCAACAGCTTGGGACTTGCTGCCTCCATCAGGAGCCATGTATTGATATCTGCAAGAGCACAAATCTTGCAACCACCAGACTACGATGCCCAATAGCAAACAGCCTGTGCTGCCACCTAGGTATATCATAAACCATGTATTGAAATGTGGAAAGTAAAGTGTGTGAATGGGGAATCCAATTGACTTTGAACAATGCCGGGAAATGAGAAACGAGTACCAGAATCGCACCGGACTGTAGACTAGCAAAGCTCTCACTTCTTATTCCCCACGCAGACCAACTCAAACTTGAACATGACAACCTACCGTTGACGACGAACCGCATTAATTGCCAAGGATGCAACGAACAGTCACAGAAAACCGTACGACCAATCACCTACCACAGGCGGCTGCCTACTCACGCGCCATCACCGTGTCATGACAATGCAAATGAGAGAATCACTCGCAATTCAGCGCCGGAAACGTCTCAACTATTCAGCGGTTTGCGCCCGCCTCCCAACTCAGGTTGGAGGTTGAGCATAGCAAAACTCTCCAAGTGGTTCTATTGATTCGCCTCTCCGTGACTGATTTGTCAAGGGCGTAAACATTCTGCTCGCGCTCATGTTTTGAACAAATTTGTAAACATTTGGAGGAAAGCTGTATAGAGATGGGCATCACGATTATGAAGGACTTATTTGTACTCATCCAGAGCCGTCATGTGGTTGGATTTTTGGCCACTTCCTGGTATCCGGAGCACAAAAATGTTACGGCAGCTGTGGATTTCAACTAACTTAAATTTGTCACTTAAGGGTGTGAAATTAAAGCTGGTAATTCAAACTTTACAGAAAAACCCTTTTGAAACAAAAAATGCTGCTATAAATAGCCAAAAACTGTTCGGAGACAGCTATTTCAATCCGGCAAAAACCCCAGAACACCAGAGTAACATGAACCCATAACTTTGGTCCGGCAAATTACGGAGAAGGGTTTATTAGGACAAAAACATCAATTAATTGCAACATAAATTATCATACTTCATAATGATATCGCATCAGAATCCATTAATACATTGCGTTATCCGCCGGAGTCAGCGGAGTGACTGACTCCAATTCCTCTTAACCGGCTTGCACGGGTCTGTCAAGCATTGTCCTGTGCTGGCTCGGTAAATCGGTTAAGAGTGCTGCCTGTCTCTTTTGTTTGGGTGGGACATGCAGGGCCTCGTGCGTTGACCGGGAGTTGGAAGGTGGAGGGCATGAGTATTTAGCTGTTCTTAAGGCCAGTTAGCTGGTGGAGCGCGAGTAGCGTGACCGTGTTGAAGCGCGAGTAGCGTGACCGTGTTGGAGCGCGAGTAGCGTGACCGTGTTGGAGCGTGAGTAGCGTGACCGTGGTGGAGCATGAAAAGCGTGATCGTGGTGGAGCATGAGTAGGTGGCTGCCTGTGGCATGTTCATTTGCATTTGTTTGTGTATCGTTTTTCTCTGCTGGGCGTATCTTACCCACCCTCCATTTTGGAGAGCATGTAAGGCTGGTGTGTAGCCACCCGCCATTTTAGTGTATAAGCCCGATGCATAATTACCCTCTGTTTTGAAGGGTGTATACACGGAGCAATTCACCAATTGCAAACCCATATATACACACATGTGTCTCATAGAACAGAATATGAGACTGTTGTTTCAGTGTGCTATGTTTAATACTGATGTTTCCTTTCATTTAAAGTGCTTTTACAAGAATTGCTCAACCTGAAAAGTTGTGCTTTTGTTGAGTACCACCTGTTGTACAGGTATCTCTCAAAGATAACCTAAATAAAACTGTAATGACCTGCAGCACTTGGATAATTTTGTACTCCACTGTAGGAAATTTGTTCTCCACTACCAGGAACATCTTTGGAATTTCAAACACTGCATACTAGCATGCCAGATGAGGACATCAGCCCGAACTACTATTCCATCTGTAACACATTTCTTTATGATGCAATATGATTAGTTACCTTTGCAGTACTTATTCAAAGGCAAACATATTTATGCAGGTAAGACAACTAGGCTTAGAAAACACATGAATCTCATTTCATGACCATCTCCGATATCACAGCATGACACTCCACTGGCCTGACCAAGATAGCCGGATCCTTACATTTTCTGGAGCCAGAAGACACTTGCACAGGATGATATCTGTGTGTGGCAGGTTGGTGATTGCCTTCAGTAGAATGCGCTGTGTGATAGCTGGGTTGTATTCACTGGGGTTGAACTGGTAGAGTTTGAGCACCGCCAAATTCGCCTCCAGGTCATACATGTTTTCTGCACACTGCCGGTCCACATACTGCTCAAACATCACCAGATTCTTGGGGTTGTACCTGCAGCATGGAATAAAGCATGAGTATAGCCATCATTTTGAGCGAAAGAGTTTCAACGAAGCCTGCAAATAGCACACCACATCCCAAGGTCTGGGGAATGTCGGTTTCACAGCACACAATCCACCTCGTTTCATTGCTGTGGTTGAGATGCTCACCACTTTTCCTTACATCAGTTCTATTCACCCAAACTAGCCCCAGCCTGAGCTAGATTACATTTATCTTACACCCACTCCATTTCTGTTCCCTATCCTGGCCTAATCAGTTGTGAATCTCTAACTTGGGCTGCATGTCTTTGGTTGTATATTGCTTGAAAACAAAGGTCATTTTAACCTTACAGCAGAAAATGCCAGAGTTTAGAATGTGCCGGGATCCACAGGTACCTCATACATCAAACTAGTGTCAGCTTTTGCAAAGGGTGGATGAACAATGGTATAGTAGCAGGTCCCTAGCAGCCATGTTGCATACTCAGAGGGGCTTTGGCCTCCCCCTCTTACAACTTTGAGAAAACATAAATTAAATCTGAGTAGAAATGTTTCTCTTGGTGTGTGTAGGATATAGCAGTAGCCATCTCTCTGACTCTACACCTAAAAAATGCTTCAAAGACTACACAGCTAATCCTCAGGTAAATGATGGGCAACACAAGGAGCAAAGCAGATTTGTAGACAAGCTATCCAAGGGTACAAGCATCACACACTGGTGAACTTATAGTTCTCTATAGTCAATAATGAAGGCCAGGATGCTTCATTCAGTAGCAATGATCAATACAATTTAGTAATGAGCAGATGCCAAACTTGCCAGCAGATACATGTAATGGTGTCAAGCTTGTGCTGTCAAAATGAAGCATGCAAAATGTGGCCATGAAAGGCTTAAACAATCATGAGCTTAAAAAAACAGGCACTTGATCACTCAACAGGTCAGGGTATACATTGCTACCTCATGTTAAAAGAGCATTGTACATCAATCATCATTTTTAGGGCAGCCCATGTCATAACTAATCATAAAACAGGTCATCTAAACTCTTACCTTGGAACTTAAATAAATACCATAGTGAACATCCCAGCGCCACAAAGACCCAGCAACCACGACCCCGGCCATTGCCACCTGTGATCACAACATTACTGCACAATCACATTTCTGCACATCAAAACCATAAAAATGTAGAGGCCAATGTAACAAGAATCCAATGAAATATGCTTCTTGGTATCCAAGCAGTCTTCCATATTGTTTGTAGATTGTGTGGGGTGCGTGCGGCGCCTGGGAGCTCACTATCATAGTCATTTAACTTTGAAGGTAAGAGCATGAATATACCTCTTTTATGATTATTTACAATATGCTCCATCTTAAACACAATGAATGATGTACAATGGTTTTTCTAACATTAGGTACCAATGAATACCTACACCCTAGACTCCTGTACAACATTGGTGAGCCAGACTTCATCCACATGAGTACTTAACACAGGCCATAAAAATTGAAGAGATAAAGATGCTTCATTTTCCTGTAGAAAACATATCCAGAGCATATTTTCCTGAGCATAATTACCATATTTGAGAACATAATTACCTTTGAAACATCACATTGCCTATAAACACTGGTTTGTTTTGCGCTGATATTCATGCTGACCATGTGTTTACCCTGAACATTCACGTTAACTATGTGCACGCATTAAAATTTTGGTTGTGATGGCATTGCTAACCCGGACATGTTCGGCTTAACATGCGTTTTGAGCAGTCTGGGTGGCTACCAGATGGCAGGCCAGGATCCTTCTCTCACCTGTCTATGCCTTTCAGGAGGGCGCCCACAGCGGCTTTCATGTCATCCGCCATGCTTATTGCCTACAGATTCAATAAAACGATTAGGCGGGAAAAGATGGGTGTAAAAATTCGGCAGCGCTGACTAACTTCAACTCGAATCAACCAACCTCCCGCAATGAATGTCGGCCAAGGCCCTAAAACAGTGCCGGCAAGGCTGCGCCATCAATCGCACACGCGCTCAGCAGGGCTGCGGCGAAAGCGGCAAAATTTGTCAACAAAGATGCCGTCAACTGTCTTTTAGTAATAGGTTGCATTACGCTGGAATAACGGTGCCGGCACATTCATACCAAATATACACCAGCTTTGGAATATTTTGAAGGCTTTGATAAGCAACCTAACCTTACTAATGTCACCAATTGGGATTCATCCCAAATTGAGCTTCCACATAATTTCGATGTACCAGGTGCATTAGAAAGCACGTATGCAGGACACGACGCATAAGGCCCATCAAAACAGATGGCGAGTTAGTGGGTTCGGATCACTTGGGCGTAAACTGAAAGCTGAAACGTCGTCAAATATCCTGCAATCGTATCAAGTGACTAGTTTTCTTTGATATACGCACATTGTTGGGAAAATTTTCAAGCCATTTTGTAAAATTGACTGCTGACTTTTTTGCAGCACTTTAGAGAGCACGTTGCAGCAGGCATTCAGAAGACAGTCCTGACGCTTTTGGAATGAATTACAGCGTGTGTGGTCCGTGTATGCCGAGCGGCGGGTGCTTTGGAGGCGGTGTGTGCGGAGAGGGGTTGTGGAAGTTAACATCGTTTCATCGGTCTTCCACCGTGGGGTGAAGGTGGTGGAAACTTATAGATACAGAGCTGCTGGTTTTGTTTCGATATTTTTATTAAGCCGTCATGAGCCAGGCCAAAAATTCATCGGCTCTCTCCTATGAAGGCTGCAAAAATTTCCGAATGAGAATCGTGCTCTCCACTTTGAGTGGAAAAGTGGTTAAAATAAGGAAGTTTCGTGGTAGAAATGACGACCCTGGTGTTGACGGTAAGTACCATTCTCCAACTTGCTAACTTCATGGGCAGGCTGATGACAACAGTCAATGGGTCTGTAGGCAACAGTCAACCCCAGTGCACAAATCTATTCACCGTGCCTATGCTTGCGTCACATTGGTGTGCTTATCTGCACAGTGGTGCATTAACCCTCACAGTTTCATGTGCCAAACTCAGGCCAAGCTAAACTGCACTGAATTCTTGCTTGATATTTGTGAAAAATTGTCTGAAATTTCCTTTCTGGAGCATCACAATGCCATGAAGCATTGACTCTGTGCTGGATTCTGTGCTGACCATGTGCCAAACCCATTTTTGGTAGGGGGCTGAAATTGTTATTGTAATATGACTATGCTGACACCAGACTGCAAAAAATACATTCAATGCACATCATGGGAGGAAGTGTCACCCTGGGTGGATATTTATGAATTTGTAAAGGTCACATGTGAATAGTCACATGTGTTCACACCCATCAGGTACCCAGCTATTCAGTACCAGTGCTGGTAGTTTGGTGCATGTCGCTGCCAGCTTAATTGCAAAGACAGCCAATAGGTCATGATATGCATTCCTACCTCATGTTAAGAAAGAGCAATGTACATCAATCATCATTTTTAAGGCAGAACATGTCATAATTGATCATTTAACAGGTCATCTAAGCTCCTACCTTGGAACTTAAATAACTATGGTACCGAACATCCGAGCGCAAACACGCAGCAGCCACGGCAGGGGCGCCATTTCCACCGGTGATTGCAACATTATTGCGTGATCACAACATAACTGTGCATCAAGAACCATAAAAATGTATGAGGCCAAGGTCACGAGAATTCAATGAAATGTGTTTCTTGTGTGTCCAGGCAGTCTTCTGTAATGTTTGAAGATTGGTCAACATGGTGGGGAAATATGATGTTTTTGCGTGGGAATGAAAAGTAAAATGAGAATATGGGGTTGAAGGTAGGAGCATGAATCTACCTGTTTTGAGATTATTTATGATATGTTCCACCTTAAACATGACAAATGGTGTGCAATGATTTTTTCTAACATTAGATAGGAATGTACACCTACACCAGCCAATGCCGTGAGGAATTATGTTGCTGAGTAGGGAAATTTTCCCAAAATTATCCCAAGATTTTTTTGGTTTGAGTTATTAACAAATTCCAAACTAAGTGTCCTGACCTCAGTTTGGTGAGCATGAGAGTGCCTGATGTCACATGGGCTGTTCCATTGCAGTGGGTGTATTTTTGCGCAGGTTGGCCTGGCATGTTGAGGGTGGCATGTGTTTTTTTCAGTCTGATGTCTACCTACCTGATGATGATGATGGTAGAATGCTTCATGAGCCAGTATGCAAGAAATCTGATCAAAAGCTTAATCAGGGTTGATTGACAGATGCGGGGCAGGAGACACAATTTGAGGAAGCTTTTTCAAATTTTGGGAAATGCATTTTTTAAAGTCAGGCAGCTCATTCGTACTTGGTTTTGTATAGCCCAAACTCAGCATATTTTGGGGTGGGTTTGATGGACTGTAGCCTAGTTCAAATGCTTTTTGCCTTATTTAGGACATGATTGCCCGCACCAAACATCTGGGCAATAGTTTTGTGATAAGGTATGGTTTACAAACTGGATGATTCTGTCCTGCCTGTGGGCTATTGCTAGCCTTAGCTTTCACAGCATGAGAGTGGTTCAAAATTCATACAGTACAGTGTGCATGAGGTAAATATGAACTTATGCTGTCAGAGTTCTGGCTCTCTTGTGGTTGCTACACAATAATCTGTTGAGGACTAATTCACCACCCTTTGATCCTGAGAGCTGACATCTGCCCTGCCCAGCCAATTTTCCAGGTCTGAAGTACACAGATGCAGTGATGACAGCTGCCAGGTTTGATACTGATTGGTTTATCTTGAGCTACTGGATGGGCAACAGACAGTGAGCCCTAAAAGGGAGGTGACAACATATCTGTCATCATGTGCATGCTATGGCAAAACTTGTACCCACAGGAGTGCTACAACAGATGTATGAGATGTAACTGACTGCAGAAACTTATACAGGCTTCTTATGTGCAACATCACCTGTGTTGCAAAGACTTATACACATGAGCACTGCACAACAAAATGTGTACTTCAAAATCATATCCTCACCACTTCCTTTCATTGAAAATAATTATGCAATCTTTGCTTGTAGGCAACATTATTCTGATGCAATAACAAAAACACTACATGAGTGCTACACAAAAAAGCTTATGACAGCAAAAACATAAGCTAATCATGATCTCTACAGCAAAGATCTGTAGTCTTTACTTGTGCACAGTATTAACTCCACTATATAAAGATGTATACAATGTTATTGTGGCACTACTAAGCTTATGCTTTAAAAGCTTATGTCTGGCATAATGTCTACTGCAAAAACATCCTAAGCTGTTAGCAATATATTTCGCCTCCCATTACTCCTGTGCAACATTTGTGCTATGGGATACAGGTGATACTGCACAAATTATACTCATCAGTTCTTCTACTCATAAGCTAGGCCTAAAAGAGGGAGGTGGCTGCTGCAAATATTGTGATCGACAGACCCACGACGACAAGGTTCTACGCGTCATTCCGGTTTCTGAAGACACGTCTAGTGCCGTGTTGTAGTGTTGCAGAACATATTTGGGGTGGGCGCTCTAGGACCGCGCGGTCGAAGCTCCTCAAAATCCTTTTACTGCTACTATCATGTTTGGGGCTAAGCAGGGAAAAACATCCAGGCCAAATCTGGCCGGAAGTACATGCATTGCGGGGCTTACCCCGAATGGGACTCTGCTCCCTATCCCAACAAAATAGGAGACTATATCCCTGAGCTGGTGTTCACTTACGCGCCACATTGCTTTTTCTCCCATTACTTAGACGGGTCTTTAGTGCTATACGACGCAACTTATGCCTTAAGAAATCGCACCCGTCATCGAAATTCTTCTTCCGAAACATCAGTGTGTACTCAAACGTCGAGCACCACAAATCAACAAAATAACGGATGTAATGAACACACAATTGTTTCTGTCGCCACCACGAGCTTTTCGTCGCAGCATTTCCCAGTTGTGGTTCCCTCCTGACGGGCAAATAGTTTCTACACCTCTGTTAGGTGTGCAGGCATTTTGCACTCCACGGCTAAGTATGGTAGCAGAAGAAATGTCGCGTATACCGAAACACTAAGTTTTTCCAATAGAAATAATGATGGGTATATGTTTTGGAAGTATAAGTTTTGTCGTGTAGCATTAATGTTGCCTTAAAGTCTTCGCAATAGAAGTAATGCCGTGTGTAAACTGAATGGTTAAGTTTTTGCAGTAGAAGTGATGACGGATAGAAGTCTGAAGGAATCAGTTTTGTCGCGTAGCACGATTGTCGTGTATAACTATTGGCAGTGGGAGTAATATTATAGCTTATCATCACACAGATGTCTTGTTGGTAGGAGTTTTGTTTTAACACTAACGTCGAGGAACCCTAGATGCTGAACTGTCGCCGCCCGGTTCGATGCTAATTGGTTGATCTTGACCGAGGCGAGCAGCAGACATTGAACCCCAAACCGGGAGCGCCATAGCATAAAAACGCTGGTAACCTGCCATCCAAGTGGCAGAACGTTGAAAGCTGGAGTGCAACCTACAAAGAAAAGAAATTGATACCACCATATGACGAAACGTGTTACTTGTTTTATGTTTTGTGGTGTACGTGGGTGATCCGACATATTTTTGCGAGAAAGTAATGAGCGATGGACTTTAGGTACCTAGTGTAGTTTTGTCCCCATTTTGCATACAACTATTCATAGGGCCGATGGAGGAATCAAGGAATGGCAGCTCGGGTAGGCTAGGTTGGCTCAAAACGGTAGTAAGAAAGCTAAGAAATATGATTAATTATTTCATGCTTAATGCCTGGTACAATTAAAACATCACACATTCATGCCTAATGAGATATCACAGATAGGTGAGATTGGGGGGGGGGGGGGGGGGAGAGGCAGCAATAGTGGATGCAGAATCCATTGCCCAATAAAAGCCATTCCACATTCTTGAAGGAGCAGCATATGTAGTCTATAGGATATAAACATTGAAAGCATGGTAAGTTGTTGTTTTGCATTGTCTCAATCAGGATGGACATGCTATGACAATGTTTGGTGGTGTATTTATCACAGCGATGTCAAGAACTCATGAAGAAGTACGGCAGTCAGCCATCCCAGTG